TTATTATTTATTTTTTAATCTGTATTATTCATTTATTCATGCATAATTTCTATAAAATTAGTTTGCTTGACGTATGAGCTACATTATTTTCATAACATATTTTTAGGCAATTTCAATACATATAAACATTTAGTTTTTCAAAGATAAGCTTAATATAAAAAGCTTTTCCATTGGATACGCCCAAGCATAACTGTTCGTAGTAATTATTAAATTAGCTCCAAGTAATTCAACTGATATCTGATCATTTCTATATATCTGTCAACTTTGACGTATTCTGACAAATGGATTATGCAAAAATAGTTCCGGAATTTACTATTCATAGAAATTATTTTGAATATTTTAAAAATTTTGACTGAATCTCGAAGAAGTTGATTTAACTTCTTGAGATTCAAAGAAGTTGGTTCAACTTCTTGATATTCAAAGAATCAAAAATAAGAAACAAACATTTTAAATATATTTATTACATATTAGAGTAAGTGCTAGTTTGTACCACTGTGGATTATTGTCGTCCCATTTTTTGACTAATTATAAACTGTTCACAGTAGGACTTCCTTTCCTTTTTCCTATTTTAGAAACCATATTGATTCATTAATGAATTTTGTAAAACTTTTCTATTGCAGTGTAAATGCGGGTCCACAGACATTATATCTTAAATGATTTTATAAACCTTTCATATTGATTTCAAAACGTTTCAAACATCACTCATATAGGTATATGATTAGGATATATTGATTTGAACTTAACTGTTTTCAAACAATTATTCCAGAACAAATATAACATAATAATGGAATATGTATGGTCATTCATAACTTAGCTATTTTTATTACCCCACTATGTATTTTATAATACTAGCATTCTAGTATTGATATAAAGTTGCTCTAAAAGATATCAAGGCTAAAAGAGTTATTAAATAAAGTCTAAGTCAGTACGGAAAAAGTTGCTATTTCGAATATTTTGTAAAAAGTATTAAGAGTATAAATCAGTTTTGTTCATTTGATAGTATATGAATCAGTTCAAGACCTTAGATTGAAATGGTTTAGGTGATTCAATCACCTATATATGGAACTATATTCAAGAGCCTCGGTGCCAAACTTCAAAGCATAGCAATGTGTGCCTTAATCCAAGTCGTTAAGACATTTTAACGTGTAAATCTTTAAATTCAATTCTAATATTTATCTTGATAGAAAATATGATAATCTTTTACTTTGAAATCAAACTTTCATGCTCCTTAGTTATTTTCAACGGACGTAATATACTACAACTCAATTGCTTAACGCTGAGGCGAATTTGATAATTCTTTGATGATTTCTGATAAATAAACTACAATGTTCTGTCAACTGGAAGAACAAAGTGAATCAGCTCCTCTCGATACACGACATCTTTATCGTTGGGACTGGCGCCAAATATTATGTTAATCTATTATTATAGGCAACAAGCCTGTGAGGTGAATTTGATAATTCTTTGATGATTACTGATAAATAAACTACAATGTTCTGTCAACTGGAAGAACAAAGTGAATCAGCTCCTCTCGATATACGACATCTTTATCGTTGGGACTCGCGCCAAATATTATGTTAATCTTTTATTATAGGCAACAAGAATGCTTCAAAGCATTACAGTCTCTTAAACTATTTTGTTTATTTCACAAAAATTATTAATTAGTAAAGAGGATTTTCTAAAAATTTATTAATTAATTAAATATAAATTACATGTTTTTTTCTATATTCTCAGAAGAAACTCTCAAGGCATTTAAATTGCTATCAATTTTATATTATGAACCATAAAATCCAAAACTTCATGTTTAGTTGGAATCACAATACTAAAATAGTGGTTAAAGACAATAATCATGAATGGTTGAATGGTTTATTCTTACTTCACACTAAAACAATGCACTGGATGACAAGGCCATAGTAACGAATGATTATTATTTAATTCTATTTTTAGTTCTACTTTTATGCCATTTTCAGAAAAAATCAAATCACTAAATAACTTTTTGAAATCATACTCTCATTGATTTTATATAGATACAAATTTTGTCTACATGAAGTCATTGCACGGAGCCATAAATTAAGACAAATATTCGGCACCGAAGTGGAGCACAATCAGTGATGATATTTACAAATGAACATTTTTTCTGACCATTAATCACCAAAAATTGAGGAGCGTCGCTTATTGCGTCAAGCAAATTTGACAGCTGATAAATTATGAATACAAATTCTTAAGTATTTTTGAAGAAAAAAACTCATAAAATTCTAAAAACGGTTGTAACTCTTTTATTAATAAGTTGAAATTAATTGGTTTATTTAGTATTAATTTAGGAGATAGAATATTGCACTTAGTGCATTATTTGAGGTAGCGTCTACATTAAAGTAATTCAAACTAAGCGGATTTCAATTCAATCGAGTGATGACAACATCGGCTGGTTGTTGAGTAGGAACCAATTGTTCTGAATTGACACCATCATCTGAAAATAGATCATTTATGTTATTAGTTGTTCTATATGAGAAAGTTATGTCGAGAAATACTTACAGGTAATGACAGGATGAAAACCATTATCATCGGCAGTGTATTTGACAACTACACGTATACCTTCTGGTGTAACGAAAGAATATGATCCTTCAACTACTTCCTTCTCTTCATCATTACCTACACGTACAGACACACCATGTTCTTCACCATGAATGCCATTTTCTGTTTCGTAATTATAAGAATAAGTGCCATCGTGATTTGGTACAATTTCTTGAGCTACAATACGTGCTTGTTGTGCCACAACATCGGGATTGTACTGTTTGAAGTAAGTATCGTAGTGCTGGCGTCTATTGTAGTATTCACGGTTCTTGTAATAACGATAGTGGTCATTATGGTATGGATTATAACGTCCACGATCGTCGTATCTGGAAGTTGTTGCAGATGATACAGTGGAAGCAAAAATTGCGAGTAAAGCAAATACAGCTAGAAAAATCTGGAGAATAAAAATAATAAATTTTATTAAAGCATACCTTATCACCTAACGGCTAATTAAATTTTGTTTAAAATTAATAAAAATTAAATGGAATTTAAGTAAAGTAATATGAGAGCAAATGTTGTTCTTTCGGTTTTTGTTATAAATAAATACACTTATGTGAGAGCTAGTTCAAATTCTGGTAATATCACCGGTTGATGCTAGTTACAAGTAACACAATGTGGCTATACAATCAAAAAGGTGTTGCCACATTTATAAAAGTTGAAATTGTTTTAGTTTTATTTAAAACTGTTTAAAGGTTTATGGATATTGCTGAATAGGGAAAAATTTTGCGATCTCACTAGCACGGACCTCAAAGCTGATATCTGTTTAAAGGTTTATGGATGCTGCTGATGTTGTAAGGAAAAATTTTGCGATCTCACCAGGACGGTCCTCAAAGCTGATACCTTTGCCGTAGCTTGTGTTAGTATTGCTGCCAGTTTCCCGTCGGCTAAAGAATCATGCCAAGATATTAAAAGCTTTCACTATTTCTTTCTTTTGAGTGGTTTTTATATTATTTATCATTATTTAGTGATTGTGCAATGTAGATTAAATGTGCCATGATCCTTTTATTCCATAGAATGCTCGTCCATATATTCTTTTGTACATCCTCTTATGTTGTTTAGAATCACATTACCAGTAAAAGGTGAATGGATGGCGACACTATTTAATTCTGCTAATTTCCAAAAGGATTACCCGAGTATGTCCGTTTTATAAAGCCTGTTACTGCTGCAATAATTGATATTATTCGAGGTACCTATTTCAAGGACGTGTAAACCCAATGGCCAGTGTCTAATACAATATTTTAATATTGTTATGTGTTCATATTACTACATATATATTTTTCTTATTTATATTGACACTAAACAATTTTTTTTTAACCAAAATATCACTCTTTTTCCATATTATTACTTAGAACTCTTTAAGATTTTTTTCTTGATTTTTTAACTCTTTGATTATTAAATTAACTTATATCAAATCTTTAAAAATTTTACCAATTTTGCCATTTTTGTTCTAAAAGTACACAATGTTGCCACTAGAGAAGATGCCTTAAAACTGTATCAAATCAATTTGAGATGTCGCAATTTATACAACTTTTTTGTATCTAACGAAATTTCAAAAATAAAAAAAAATGGCGGCTCTGCCAAAATTAGTATTCCAAAAATTTTTATTACCAAAACGATTTTCTTAAATGAAATCAAATGAGCGAGAAGCCAATCCAAGCCCAAAACATCTTCACAGATTTCATTTGTCAATT